CCTCTCGATAGACCACTGCCAAACTTGACATAAGGGTTCCTGGTGTGTGTGTGTGTGCATGCGCATTGGTTTTCATCGATGCCGCCAGCTGCCATTTTGAAACAAGTTGGCAGACAGGAACTTGGTGTGACTTTGGTATGGCTTCTTCCTCTTTTTGGCATGGGCACAGCTGCCTTTCGACTGTTCCTGAGGTGGTGGTGGTCTATGTTGACATTTGGGTGCTGGGCGCCATTTTGAATCAAGATGGTGGGCTGAAATGTGACTTTGGTGTGACTGTATCCGGGGTTTTTTGTCATAGGTTTGGCAACCTCTCGAGATATCGTTGCCCAGTGTGGTCAGGGCTGATGGGAACTGAATTATTGCCCTCGAAGGGAGAAGGGCTGTCAGGACTACATGCATCTTAAAATATAAGAAAACTAAGAAGGGAGAGCAGGAGAGCAAGCCTTCAGTAGTTAAGCACCTTGGACAGCACACTAGACTGGTCACCTTGACCAGTTGTATTCAACCTTTTCAGACCAAGGCCTCACCTTTAACCCATGCATGCGTTTGGGAACCCACTTCTTAATTTTCCGACATGTATATGTATGTTGGTAATGCTGCTGTTATGACCCAACTTAGGTTAGGCCAAGACCCAGCAGGCCAAGACCCACCTACTAAAGACCACTGACTTTGATGTCCCCCAATCTGATGAAGTGGTTTGCTGCCTGTTTCAATTTTAGCAGCTATTTCTAATTGTGCATCAAGTATCAATATGTTTGCTGCCTGGGACTCTTTGGGGAGAAAGTGCAGGGTGGAACTACTACTACTACTACTGTGTCATATGTATTCTTATAAATAATAGCAGATGCAAATTTTATGCACATTCATTCCTTACTGTGCTCAAATAGAATAGATTGGGGTTGGAAACCTGTAGCCTTCTAGATGGACACTGCTCCTGGATCTGATGTGAGGGTTTTTTGGTTGGGGGGGGGGGGCGGAGAGAGAGACAGTGCTTTCAGAGAGGGCAAGGCAGCGCGAACAGCCAGTGTCATTGGTAAGGAGTTGTTGCAAAATCTGCATGGATGGAATGTGTTACAAGAAAGTTAATTTTCAGAAGTTGTGCCTGAGCTTCCATTTTCCTCATGTGCCATATCTTGTAAGGTTGATTATTGAACCTTTTTTTAGGGCTAACGAGGGACCCAGGGGATGAGTGACAGAGGGTGTCCTGTAACCAAGTGGCTGATGGGATAGCAGGAACTGGAGTCACAGGAGGAGGGAGAGTTTTCTTGCCGCTGCCTTCAGCTGGAAGTGCCTTCGCCCAATAGACATCCTTATCCCCTCTTCCACAACCACCGCACTAAGTATGGCCTGCTCATCAATGCTGGGATGCAACTCAAATTCATTAGAAAGCTCCTCAGTTTAAAAGTCTGTGAAAGATGGAACAAACCGGGAAAGCAATGAAGAAATACATCATCTAGCAGGGGGAAATGAAGGCACAGACAAGGAAGTAATTTATACAGTATGTGCCCATTTAATGGCCTTGTTAAAGGAGGAACAAGCTACTACAGACCATATTTGAGAAGCAATAACTTGGGGCCATTGGTATTAGATGTTCCTTTGGTTGTAGTTTAAAGGACTGAGAAAATGGAAGGCGCTTCAAGCAAAGGACAGAATTCCTATGGATTAGACGTTATTTGTAAGGACAGGAGAAATTTACGCTTTGCCACAGCAGAAGAGATGGATTTGAGGTCCTGACCAAAGGTGCTTTTCCAGGGTCATAACTCATATTTTTTTGAATTTGCAAATGAAGATAAGTTTTCTGAAAATGGCTTGCTGTCTTTAATTCCCATGGCTGAATACAGAAGACAAGGTCTGCCTAACAAACAGTGGAGGAGACTATTTCTCAATGGACGTTATGCACTGCGTGACATTTCCCCATTCCTCTTGGTAGTGCCATACAATGCCACAGATGATGATCTCAAGGAGGTTTTTGCTTTCAGATCCCGATGCAGAACTCCAGTATTGTAATGGCTCCATCCAGAACTATCTGTGATACAAGACGCAGTGTTAATGCTGCAGCTAATCAGGCAACTGGAGGAGGGTATGAAAGTGATGATGAACTGATTTTCCCAATGCTGAACTGATTTCTCTAGATATGCATAATATTCATGCCACGCAGAAATCCTTGAAAAAGCTGAAGGACACCTCATGTAGAAAAATCCCACTGGGTATCGAGTCTAGAGTCACCCCGTGAAATAGTGCAAGCTTTGATTGCAACAAACCCACTGGCTCAAACTTATCTAGCATGTTTTGACAGGTGCTATTCAGGTAGCAGACAAAGTATTCTCTGGAAAGAGTTCAGTTTTGGTACACTGCCAGGATGGTTAGGACCGCATGGCACAACCAGCCTCTCTAGACAGTTTGATGTTGGACAGATCCTTTGGACACAAGTGTGCTTGATAGCAATCCAGCTGCTGAATTCTGCGCCCATATTGAACTATTTTAATACTTTAGCTAAGTAACTCCATTCTGTCATCTTGGCTCTGAGCCTTGGAAGATCTGCTCCCTTGCCTTGCAGGCTTTTCCCCACCTGGCCTGGGAGGGACGGACTCCAGCTACAAAAGCTGAGACTCCTGGGCTGGGGTATTGCTGGGTTTTTGTTGTTGTTGGGGGGACATTGTTGGTTTTTTGTACCTTTATTTCAGATATTCTTATTAATGTGGAAACTTCAGATATTCTTATTAATGTGAAAATTGTTCAATTCTGTTGCGTATCTTTTAATGCTTTAGATATTGTTTATGATTACTTTTGTTAGGTTGTAGTTGTGCATTCTTTTTCATGCTGTGAGCTGCCTTAAGCATGGTTTGAATTGTGGAAAGGCAGCATGCAAATAAAATTATGTCTGTGTGAGTATAAATGCCATGAAAAAATAAAGCAAATATGAATGGAGGCAGGGCTAGCAAGTGAATAGCCGTGGTGCTTAATAGCAAGTGACCAGTGGAGGAAGGTATCGGATTGTGACCTACTCAGAGTAGACCCATTGAAATGAATGGGCTATGTTAGTCATGCAGATGAAGGCCAGTGGGTCTACTCTGAGTAGATTGTGGATTGTAGGAAAATGGAATAAACTGCCTTGTGAAAGCAGCCAATGTATTATATCCAATTAAGTTTTGCTCAGAATAGAACTGAAAATAATGGATCCAAGATAGTCAATTTCACTAATTTCAATTGGTCTGTCTCAAGTAGAACTTAGTTGGATTACAACCCTATGATTATATAATGACTTATTCCTTCTGGGCATTGTTGATCAAGGGGTGTTAAAAGGGGATAGAACTTTCTTTATGTACGCAACAACAGCAGCAAGAATACTCATCGCAAAGCACTGGAAGACACAGGATTTGCCCACCTTGGAAGAATGGCAGACGCAACTGATAGACTACATGGAACTGGCTGAAATGACTGGCAGAATTCGAGACCTGAGTGAAGAGACGATGGAAGAGGATTGGAAAAGATTTAAGGACTATTTACAAAAACACTACAAATTGTATGAATGTTAGGAGAATGCACGAATGAAAGAAACATGGCAGCAGTAAAACTATTGTAAGATATATGAGAATATGTGAAGTTTAAGGTAATGTTGAAATTTGAAGTAATATTATGCTCAATATAAGCAGTTTAACTTAAGATCAATATACTTCAAAGCTGAAATTGAATATTGGTGACTTATAAAATAAGAAATGGAAGTAAGGTAACAAATTGCTGCACATAACTATTTGGTTGGGAACGCAGGGAAGGGTGATGTGAGGAAGTCCAAAGTTTATGGAAAGTTTATGGAAATTTGATTTATGAATATTTGTACTTTATTTGTAATTTTTTTCTTTTTTCTATATTTTTACTTCTTTTTATAATCTTATACTGATTCTTTTTCTGTTTCTTATGTGTTACTTTGCTATTTGGCTGTTTTTTAAAAAAATCTCAATAAATATTTTATGGGGGGAAAAATAAAAAATGATTATATAATGACTTATACCTAATGGGTTCATTACAGAGGTAAGATTTGAACAGGTGTGTGTTGTTTTCTTCTTGTTGTTGTTGTGCAGCTTATTAATTATACTACTCCAGAGCTGAAAGGAAGGATTCATTCATTGTGGAAGAAAAAAATAATTTCTTTATTAACATTTCCATCAAAGAAATTCAAATCGTATTCAACACCACATGGGGATGAATGTAACATCGCTTTATAAAAGCATTCCAATTCGTTCGTGTTCAACAAACTTACATACGCACATTACTTTCTCCTTATTAAAGATACATAAACATATGTTTCCTTCACAAAAGGCAGAAAACTCTCCCAAATGGGAGACGCATAAGACACAGAGAGTGAAACCTAACACAAGGCCCTTTAGATGCTGTTGGAATGCCAACTCCCATCAGCCCCGGACAGCATAGCCGATGGTATGTGAAACCTCTGAAATCTCTCCCCGCTCAAAGATTGGAGTGTGGTACACACTATCAGAACAGCAGGGGATTCTCAGTCAGTGGAGCTAGGTTCCTGGGAGGTTCACTCAGAAAGTAAAGAAAGAAAGAAAGAAAAGGCTAAAGCACTTTGATACAAATTACAGCATTGAAACAAAAGCACCCCTTCTCTCTGAAGGACAATATGAACAGAGACTCAGGAAGTCTTTCAGTCTCCCAACAGATGCTGTTGGAAGTCCTCGGCAAGGCATCTCTATTGTCAGAAAGCTGAAACCACTTTCTTTCCTTTTCTAGACTGCCAAGGAAAAGACACAGAGAGATCCCCTCTCTGCCACAGCAGCCCATAAGAGCAGACAGCTTTGCGCTCCTTCATTGTGAAGGGAAATGACTTTGCAAGATCATTTCTTGCAGCAAAAAACAACCCAACTCTCCCTTCCTTGGAAATCAAATGCTTCCTACTTCTTAAAGAGGAATCGTAAAGATTCCTTTAGGTTTTATCTGAGCTTTTTCTTTTTCTGTGTAGGTGGTCCAACCAGCTCCTCCTACCACGGTCTCCAGAGCACTGTGGCAGGTGCTGGGGGCTTCTTGCTGGCAGTTTGTTTCTTGGGTGGGGCGCGAGGAGATGGTGGCAGGCAGCCCATGGCGGGAGTGCCTGTCTGCACCCTGTCTGCGATCACGTGGACTTTGCAGAAGTGCTTAATCAGCCGGGCTTGCGTTTCTCTCTTGGGCTCGCAGAAGGAGAGGAAATGCAGCGCTTCCTTCAAGCAACGCAGGTAGCCGGTGTTGAAATCAAGCTCTGGATTCTTCTGGCTCAGTGCTAGAGAGATGAAATAATATTTTTTAAATTATTATATCAGATGCACAGATGTGAGCACAACTTATGGCTGCTTCTTTGACTATTTATACATTTAATGTGCATTGCTCCCCCTCCAAAAGAAAATCCTGCTGGCTGCAGTTTGCCCCTCACCAAGCTATAATTCCTGGCACCCTTAACAAGCTGTGGTTCCCAGGATTCGTCGGGGCAAGCTCTCAGTATAATGCAGTAGTTCAGATAGTTGGATTTAGGCCAGGGGTAGGGGTACCTGTGGCTTCCTAGGTGTCATTGGACTACTTAAGACCAAGTTAGCATGGACAATGGTCAAGGATGATGGGAATTGTAGTCCAACAACTTTTGGAAAACTACAGGTTCTCCAACCCTAGTCTAAATCCAACACTCTGCACTACCACACCATCCTGAGGGACCTTTGGGTATATAACGCAGGAGAAGCATGCATCTGCCACAGGTCAACCAATCGTCCTTCCCTGAAGAATATATCTACATTTTCCCTGTGCCGCATTTTTACTCTTAAAAATGTGTTGTGCAAACTGGCCTCTGGGACCTTGATCTGGGAAAACTAGCTAGAAAACAAAAGACCCCACAACCCACGGCAGGCTCTGGCTTTCCACAACTCTCACTTACTCCTCGTATACAATTTAATTTTATTTTTGAAAGCAATTTTTGTCAAACGAATAAGATGCTACAGGTGCCATTCAAACCCCCTGCATACAAGTAACTTCAGGGACTTGTGGAATGTTTGCCTGACAAGGCTTGGGTACCTAAGGATGGAAATCCCACACTCACCAGGAGCCTGAATTTGATGCTGCTGCTGCTTCAAGTAACTGACAGCCACTTCCAAGATGTCTGCTTTCTCCAGCTTGGAGTTGGGCTGATGCCTCTGGAATTCTTTCTCCAGAAGGACCTTCAGCTGCTCAATGCTGCTGTTAATCCGATCGCGGCGCATTTTCTCGACCACTGGCTTCCTCAGCTGCAAAGGAGAAAGAAGGAAAAAGGCCCTTTAAGCTTCATGAAATCAATGAATAAAACCTATGCAACAGCATTCAGAGGCTGCTGGCTATGCAGAATTTTCCAGTGCCTGTCATTTGATTTCAGAATAGCAGAATTTCCACCTTTGCATTAGGGGGTAATTGATCTCCTAGCTCCATTCTCTCTCTCCCCCCCCCCATTCTAATCTAGCACATCTTAACTCACATTTGATGATACCTAGCTTTATAGACTAGATTTATCTAATCTATCTAAACTGGGGGTTCCCAAACTGGTGAATGGACCACTAATGGTCTCCAAGCATCATTTAAGTGATTCACTGCATGCCCACATTAAATATTCCTAGTGATTTTAAATTTCATTGCTTCTTTTGTTTCTTATATTGTATTAAATAGCAGTACAGTCTGAATTCCACGGAATGCAAATTGTCATCCAATGCAACATAGGGAAATAAAAGAAGCATTAAAATTCATTTTTAATTTAGCACAGTGCATTACAGCTGCCACTACAAGCAGAAAACATAGTAAGCGGCCTGTCGAGACCCTCAGCAACTTGCAAGTGGTCCAGGAAAACAAAAAAGTTTGGCAACCACTGACCCATCCAGTTTAATATTCTGTTTAACTACCTACCCACTGAACAGCTCAATTTAATACCCCATCCATCCCATTTAATAATCATTCGTTGATCCACCCAGATAATCTATCCATTCATCCTTCAGTCTAATATTCTACCTACCCTTTTCTAAAATAACTGTATGTGCTCAACCCAAACTTCCCTCTATCTACAGCCTTCCTTTCTGCCAGTGTTACCTTCTGCCTGACACACACACACCGACATCAGTTCCCACATACAAGCCAGTCCTTTGATTGATCTGCACTTAATGATGGACAGCTGAATGTGTGAACTGGCTCCCTTTTCACTGGGGGTGTGCTGCGGAAGAAGCAGAAGCAGAACACTGAAGCAGCAAGACGACATCCTAAGCCTTCTAACTTGTGGCGTTGTATCTGCACACACAAGACACTGAGGGACGGCAGCATGTGGGGACCAGCTCTAGGGCAATGACACCTCTGCCAAGACTGGCCTGCTGAAACCCTTGCCTACCTTGTTCTTCTCTTTCGCCAGCCCCCTCTCTTCCTCCATGTGGACCATGCAGCTAGGAGCCATCCGTGACCCTGTCAGCCAAAGTCAAGCAGCTCTGGGTATTAGCTGTCTGACCCGAACGCAACCCTTCTGCTCCAAAGCTCTCCGCGGGCCTCTATTTATATCCGCCAGCAGCTCAGCAGCGATGTGAGTTTTGGGCTCCTTGGCGTTTCCCACAGTCACGCAGCCAATCCCGGCACGCGGACAGATAATAGAGGAGGCATCCCCTTAGTGCACGCTACATTGACCGTCAATGAGCCCCGAAGAGAATAGCCTTCTGCCTGTACCAACTGGTAGGGTACGCAAAGCCGCGCGGCAGGGCTGCCGGAGGATCTGGGAAAACCTCGCCGCCCCACCCCACCCCCCAGCTGCCTTGCCCAGGATCAATTGCATTCCAGAGTTTCAATCCCATGCCACGCACATCCATAGGTGGGGAAGCAGTTTGCTGTTGAGTGTAAAAGTCTGAAGGGAAGAAGAAGAAGAAGAAGAAGAAGAAGAAGCATATAGATCAGGAAGGTGGGAAAAGGAGAGTTAAAGTGGGCTTGGTTATTATTATTATTATTATTATTATTATTATTATTAATTTATTAACTGGTTAATTGAATTCGTATACTGCCCTTCATTTGTAGATCTCAGGTCAGTTCATAACATAGGTAACTGACAAGGCAAATATTTATTTCTTACATTTATAGAAGTAAAGCAATAAACGGAGTTGGAACAAAAGCCATGATCACATAATTGTAGAGTTGGAAGGGACCCCGAGGGTCATCTAGTCCAACCCCAGGAATCATGGCTAAAGAATTCCTGGCCGATGGCTGCCCAACCTCTGTTTAAAAACCACCAGTGGAGGAGAGTGTGCCGTCATCCAAGGTAGTACGAATCAGGACACTTGGGCTGCATACGCGTGACTTCTCCCACATGAATCCTGGGAGCAGTAGCTTGCTATGAGCGCTGGGAATTGTAGCTCTGAAAGGCGGTGAACTACGGTTCCCATGATTCTTTGGCGGAAGCCATGGGCTCAATATCTATGATGCGTGCACAGACTTTGGTGACTGAGCTGTGGGAGTGGGGCTGATAATGCCAAGGTTGCAGGTTTGATCAATGTTTGGGACAGCTGCATTTTCCTGCCTTGCAGGGAGTCAGACTAAGATGGCCCTCAGGTGGTCTTCCAACTGTACAATTCCATGATTTTATGATTCTATGAAATGTCGCTGTCTGTCTCCTGTCCCCAGTCAAGGTGCATAATATATATTCAAAACATAAGAAAGCTACCTTATACTGAGCCACGCTATTGACATTTGTGTGCAGAAGGTCCCAGATTCAATTCTCAGCATCTCCTTCAGATGTCTTCTAATGGTTGTATAGTTACTTATCTCCTTGGCTCAGGGGTTGCATAATTCCATACCCTCCAACATTTCTCTGATGAAAATACAGTGGTACCTCGGGTTACATATGCTTCAGGTTACAGACGCTTCGGGTGACAGACTCCGCTAACCCAGAAATAGTACCTCGGGTTAAGAACTTTGCTTCGGGATAAGAACAGAAATCGTGCTCTAGTGGCGTGGCGGCAGCAGGAGGCCCCATTAGCTAAAGTGGTGCTTCAGGTTAAGAACAGTTTCAGGTTAAGAACGGACCTCCGGAACGAATTAAGTTCTTAACCCGAGGTACCACTGTAGGGACATCTTAAGGAAAAGCAGGACATTCTGGGATCAAATCAGAAACCAGGACAGCTCCTGTAAATCCGGGACTTTGGCCATGAAACTCACTGGGTGAACCTTTGGCCAGTCACTGCTTCTCAGCTAACCTACCTCACAGGGCTGTTGTAGTGATTAATTGAGGAAGGGGAGAACCATGTACAGACACCACCTTGAGTTTGTTGGAGAAAAGGATGGGATGTAAATGCAAACCATCGATAAATAAAACCGAGTATAAGATACATATATTAGCAGGGAATGCCAGGCACCACCTAGGAATTTTTTTAGAAACTCACAAATACTGTGGTTTTAAAAAATCGATAGTGTCATTTGTGAGTTTGGATCTGTCACGCCAAGAAATCAGGTGGGGCCATGCAAAAGCTATGATTTCAAAATGACGCCTGGCATATATGATTGTTTTTGTTTTAATGTTGTCTTGTAAGTTGCTTTGAGTTCTCCTTTCTGGAAAAAAAAGTGACTAAATATTAATAAAGAACAATAATAAGATACCATTTTTTTACTGTAGCGTTGAGATGTATTCAAGATTTATGTGAGGTAAAAAGAAAACCACAAAAAGAAACACCCAAATTGCTGAGAGCTGAAGGAACTCTGAAGTTAGACTGAAAGACGCCCCAGGACCACTTCCTAATTTAAAAGAAGAGAGCAGGGAGAAAGCCTAAAATGATCTCTGTTTTATAACAGGTCATTGTCAAAGAGGCAAAGAGAGTGAGGGAAAGAGCCGGCTCCATCGTAATCATTGTCAGAGTCTGAATGAGCTTATCTCTTTGTCCAAGACAGATGTTGAGTAGAGGCCTGTACTTCTATCCCCTAAATTTTGTGGGAAAGCTGAGAGCTGAGTCATCTCAAGACCACTTGGAGCCTTTCAAGGGGGATTTTTTAAAAAAAAGAGAGAGAAAAGAAAATGCAATAACAACAAAATGATACGAGGTGGAGGCAGGTAGCAGACGTTCGCTACCATTGACCATCTCTCTGCCCCATCTCTCTCTCTCTCTCTCTCTCTCTCTCTCTCTCTCTGACGTTGTGTGTCAGATCTTCAGAGCAAAAACCATGGGAATTCGCTATCTGTATCTGAGGGTTATGGGTATTGTAAGAGGTTTTTTAAATAAATAAAATTTAAAAATGGTTGTTTTGATGGATAGCCCACCCTGTCACAGGGATCTGGGACAGATTATGGCAAAACAAAACAAACAAAAGCCATCCAGTCCAAGGAATCTCAGCCAGATGGGCGGGGTATAAATAATAAATTATTATGATTATGACTGTGAGCCTCCAAGTCTTGCTATCTGCCCCTTGGGTCTATCCCCAGGTTACATCTCTTCCTTAGTCACATCCCCCAGGCCAAAACCCTTATTAGCCATGCTTCAACTCTCTCCTTAAGCGTTTTTGCCTGGCTGGAATATGCCATTGAATAATGCTTTTTCTTGCTTGCCCGGACAGAGGTTGTAGAAACTATTGCACCATAACAAAGGTAAAACTTACATCCATCACTCAGCCTAGTACAGTGGTACCTCGGGTTACATACGCTTCAGGTTACAGACTCCGCTAACCCAGAAATAGTACCTCGGGTTAAGAACTTTGCTTCAGGATGAGAACAGAAATCGTGCTCCGGCGTTAAGGCGGCAGCAGGAGGCCCCATTAGCTAAAGTGGTGCTTCAGGTTAAGAACAGTTTCATGTTAAGAATGGACCTCCGGAACGAATTAAGTACTTAACCCGAGGTACCACTGTACTTTTGCCTCTGGCCCTGCCCACCCCTGGGAAGTGGCCCTGGAATGTGGCCCAGAAGGGAACATACACGCAAAACCATTTTGACTTATTTTTAAAAACAATCAAGCTGCATAGAAATGTTATGAAATAAACAAACAAACCTATGCCTCTTTTTCTTTACATTGGGCATTCCGCCTGGGTTTGAGGGGCCTGATCCGTGGTGGGGTGGACTAGCAGTTCCTCCCATCTCCTCCCCAATACCTATAATTCTTCTGGAAGGATGTTATTTCATGAAGGGAGGGAATGTAAGGGAGAAGCACTGGATGGGTGAGGTTCAACCCTCCCCAAACTCCAGATTTGACAACCCTACCCAGAAATTTACATAGCAGCTTCTGAATGGGTGGGAGATGGGAGTTTGCAACAGCTTTATCTAATTTTAATCTGAGCATTGTGTGTGTCATCTATCCATCTGCCTGCCTGCCTGAATTCTTACAATAATATAATCATAGTATCATATAACGCAATCATGCAAAGACAAGGCTACACCCACCCACACATTTATACAGTGGTACCTTGGTTCTCAAACTTAATCCGTTTCAGGTCTGTTCCAAAACCAAAGCGTTCCAAAACCAAGGCATGCTTTCCCATAGAAAGTAGTGCAAAATGGATTAATCCGTTCCAGACTTTTGAAAACAACCCCTAAAACAGCAATTCAACATGAATTTCGCTATCTAATGAGACCATTGATCCATAAAATGAAAGCAATAAACAATGTACTGCAGTCACACAATCAATCAATCAGTAGCTGAACTGGGTTCCACACAGACACACACACACACACGAGCCACAAAAGCGCAAAATAAATAGCAAAAGGAGACAGACCTCAGAGTAACACTCAAAATGAAAGTGTGGCACTCAAATTGGAAGCATAACACTCAAAATGGAGGACGGCCGGCTTCCGAAAAATGTCCGCAAACCGGAACACTTCCGGGTTTGCAGTGTTTGGTTTCCAAGTTGTTTGAGTACCAAGGCGTTTGAGAACCAAGGTACCACTGTAACCTGCTCTTCATCCAAAGGGGCTGCACACCCAATGCCTGTCTCATTTTGTGCTCACAACAACCCTGTGAAGTAGACAGGTTAGGCCTAAAAAGCTGGCGACTTGCCTGAGCTTCCTTACGGAGCCTGATGGCTGAGAAGGAATTTGAACTCGGGTCTTTTCCCGGGCCTGGTCTACCAGGCCACATTGGCTGCCGCTGCCAAACCGTGCTGAGCAGGCGCCGACCCTTTTCTGAGAGGGAAGACGAAGATTGACAGCTAGCTCATTCACAAAGCTGGTTAAAGCGGCAGCGGCGGTGTCAAAGAGTGTTTCCCTCCCACCTTGGAAGTGACAGCCCCTGACCCTCATTGCCGGATTGTAACTACTAACCAGATGGTCTTTTGGGAGTTGGGTGTCCCCCCCCCCTCCTCCTCTAATGCATTCAGGCCCAAGCACCATCACTAATGTCACCCGTAGTGGCGAGGCACACGTCTATTGTCTGAGTGAGGAGGGGGAAAGTGTGGGAAACTCAGCGGAACTCAAACCCACACAGCCTGGTGCTAATAACTCCTTTGTGGGGCATGAATGTGCCATGAACTCACGTGGTTCTTTCAGCCAGGGCTGGGGGCGGGGTGGGGGGCGAGG